GGAACTCATGTTTCTTCTGTCCTACATTATAAACTCCTAGGAGACAAGGGTCCCTGGTAGTGCAAATAGTGAAAAGTCAGCCACTGAAAATCTTGTGGAGCACAGCTGCAATCTAACACATGTGGGATTAATAAAAGTTGGAATGAATTTGATAGCATTTCTTTAGTCAAGCAACTGTGGCTGGTATTTATACATAATCACATAGAACTCAAGTTTATTGACACCTCAGGAATGGTCATTATGACAAGAGTTAGACATTATGTGTATTTTATGAAAGTTAGGTTTTATGGGTACTGGTAAAACAGAAGTTTTGAAAAAGAAAGGCTAAACTTTTAACATAGACCCCATGCATTGACTTGACACTTGTACAAAAACTGACCAAAAGGTATCTCTTTCTACAGACTATTTTTGAGAAACAGAAAGTTACTATCATTCAAGAGATATGTACTATGGGTTCATAAATCAAAGCTTCTGATCAAATAAACCTCAAATCCCCCAAAACAAAGAAACTTTCTTTAGAATACAAACAAGCAAATATTAAAGTGTTAGCTGACTTAATTACTTGACTTTAAAAAAGAAAAAAAAATCACTTAGATTCTGGCAGAGGTTAGCACTCATGATAGCTTTGCTTCATTTAACCAAGAAGGAAAATGTAGCTATTATGGTAATTGGTATAGTGCAGTGAATTACTTAATGTGGCCCTTTTAGTTATAAAAGTTCTTACTTGACTGGGTAAAAATCATGCAAATGTGATGTTCGTGGCCCACTAAGAAGACTGGATATTATTGTTAGTTACCACTAAGACAACTCATAGCAACCTGATCAACAACAGATCTGAACCTTAACATTGCCCTATCCTGCACCATCATAAGCCCAGATATTCCCCATCCATAGTCACTGTAACTATTTCGTGGGGGATCTTCTTCTCATTCTCTAACTCTCTACCTTTACCAGCATGATGTCTTTTTCCAAGGACTGGCCAGCAGATTTTCCCAATGCAACACATCCTTTAAGTTTTTGATTGATGCTAACATGGGTGATGATTGTGGATTGTAACAAATTATGGCTAACACTGAGAATCCCAGAACACTTAATAGTACTAATGCAAAATCAACACAGAAGATTGAATAATTTGCTAATAATGTAAATAACGTACCTGGTGCACTTGTTGGGTGGGCTAATGAAAACAGGGTATGTGGACACTTCTCACAGGTTTTCAAGGCTATAAAAAAAGCCAGTCTCCTGGTCATTTTCAGATAGTAGCTAATGTGCAAACAGGTCAATTTTATTACCTTACAGATTTAAAATGAGCAATAGGGGATCTCATTGCCATCAACAAAAAAGAATCAAGAGTGTAAGCACATCCTTTGGACCCTACTCCTATGTTGAAACCTCCTTGACTCACTAGACAGCAATGTAACACCTGAGAGAAGATGAGAAATGGAGAGGAGTCCTAACAGAGGCAGAAGAAACAGAGCTGAGAGACTGGCACAAGATAACTGTGGGCTTTCCAGGCCACAGAGCAAGAAAACGGTATACCTGTACTTAGGAATCTTACTGGTCAAGTGGGTACGAATGCCTTTAGGCATCTGTTGGAGAGTAGGTTTGCCAATCCAAGAGCTAGAGCTTTAGGCTTACTAGCAGAGTGGGGCTTTTCAGGTCATTCAAACAGGCAGGACCAAATGAGTGTTGCAACACTTGGTCAAACAGAGTGGAGACCAGGGCCAGAGAGATCTGCCTGCAGGCATGACTAAGGAGAAAGGCTGTTGTGATGGAACAACTGTTTCCTAGGTATTACTGATCCTGATTTGGAGCCTGTTGCTTTCCTCAGAAACTCCCTGTATTATCTTTAAATCCTATGTGGCTATTGCAACAAATTATCAAATCCAACTAAGAAGTAGTGTCATGAGAAGGACAACTGACATCAGAAATGGTCAAAAGGTTTGTGGCGTGAAGGCATGTCTGATCTCATAGGAACTGACTTTGGGTTGTTGATGCTGGTGATGGGGATTCTCTTTCTCCCTTGTGAAGTCAGACGCTGCTGCCTCCATTCTACTATTATTACAGGTGGTATTCAGTCAGCTGTTAAGACCACTGTAGACTGAGTGATGGTGCCAACTTAAGGCAACAATAGTAACATTTCACTTGCTTCTTATTCACAAACATTAACCATTCTATCTTTACTAGAACCAGCGCTTCTCCTACAGGCTACAATTAGGTAAGAGACAGTGTTTCTGGGAAGACTATTTATATCCTTATTTCAATTTAGCACAAATAGGTATTTGTGGTTAAGTGTATGGTAATGGAACACTGACCATTTCTATAATTGCCAACTTAGCATTTTATAATATTCTTGTGTCTAAAAGGTCTTGCTTTTAAAAATAAGCATTTGTCTTGAAAAATCTCTGGTGTCCTAAATTTAGATAATCAGTGGAAGAAATAATTTGATTTATTAGGATCCAGCAAGGAGTAAAAAACTGTATCAGTTATGTTAATAATTATATTTAATAAAAATATTAACCAAAATTTAAAAATTAACCAGACATTCCATTATGTGTTAAGACATGTGAGAGTTCTATGGTCTGAAAAACAACTCAAAGTTCAGTGAAAAGACAGCCTGAAATTTAGAAGGAACAAAAAAGTAGCAATTTACCTAGTTTTGAGCCACTCCAAGGTGAGTATTAAAAGACTGGAGTAGGTCAAGACTTTTCAGCCTCAGTAATACTGACATCTAGACCTGATAATGATTTGTTGAGGGAGCTTGCCCTGTGCATTGTAGGAAACAGAACAGCATCCCTAATCTCCAACCTTCAGAGACTAAAACCAACCCCATGCCCTCAGCTGTAATGATCAAAAATATTTCCAGATATTGCCAAATGTCCTCTGGGAAGTGAAATCACCTGTAACATGTATAGTAATAAAAGAGGAACTATGTCCACAACTAGATTGTGGATCACTGTTGTTGGGTACTGCTAAGTCATTTTCATCTCAGTGACTCTATGTGACAGAACAAAACTGTCTCAGAGTTTTTTGTTGTTTTGCTCTAACTTTTGCAGAAATCTTTCTCTTGTGGAGCTACTGGATGAATATGAACCGCTGACCTTTTTGATAGTCAGAACTGACCCACAGCTGACCCTTCAGTGGGTTTCAGAAGCAGTTAATCCACAGAGGAGATTGCCCATCTTTCTCTCATAAAGCAGCTGGTGGTCTTGAACTGCATGCCCTTGGCATTATAGCACATTTCACCAGTAGACCACCAGAGCTCCCCAACTGTAGATTGAGTGCTTAACTGTTTGAACCATTAAGACCTGTTCATGAATCTCTCAAACTAAAAAATAAAACCCACTGCCATCAAGCTGGTTCTGACTCATCGTAACCTTTTATCAGGTTCCCAAAGTGGTAAATCTTAATGAGACTGGCCATCTTTATCCCAAGGAATCGCTGGTGTATTCAAATCACTGTAGTTATTCAGTCTGACTTTTGGTTAGGCGCATAAACCTGCTATAGGCTACACCACTAGAGCTCTTTTATGGATAACTGCTGTTGTTAGATGCCTTCAAGTCTAATACAACTCACAGCAACCCTATAAACAATGGAGGTGAGCTCTGCCCTAATTTGTGCCATCTTCATTTCTGATATACTTGGAAGCCCATTGTTATAGTCACTGCCCTAATTCATGTCCTTGAGGGTCTTCCAATTTTGGATCACTAGGCAACAAAAATATATACTTTAGTCTTTGAAACTCTGCCCATATAAACGTTGTTGTTGCTATGTGCCGTTGAGTCATTTAGGACTCATAGAGACTCTATGTACAATAGCCCTGAAACCTGCTCTACGCTGTGCCAACTATACTGACACACCTAACCTCATTATCTCAGTCACTGTATCAATCCATCTCACCGATGGTCTCCCTCTCTTTCTTCGTCCTTCCACCCTTCCAAGCATGATGTCCCTCTCCAAGGACCAGTCCCTACTTGCAACACGCCCAAAGTATGTCAGACGAAGCCTCAGAATCTTTGCCTCCAAGGAGCAGCCTGATCTCACTCTCTAGGACGAACAAACCTTAATTTTTAGATCAAATTAACAAAGACAAAGAGCGGTGCAGGCGTTGGTAGGGCAAATCTCGCACATGCAAGCCCACGAGATCTCTCTTCTTTCATAGCTCCCTGAAATTACTTATCTTCTATCCACTGTTCTAGAGCAAGAACTTTAAAACACAGTAGCTGCTCCCCCCCCCCCCGTTAAGAGCAAGGCAGGCAATTGTTTGCTGAGGTGTCTAAAGAATTCACCAGCTCTGTAGTAAAGTTCTTCGGCTTTCATCTTTATGATCCTCTCCCATGGACCCACTGGGTGGGTTCAAAAGTGCTATCTTCAAAGTCAGCAGTGAAGCTAAGACATAGGAATTCACTTCATAGAATAATACCACATTTAGATGATATAATTATGCACTCTATTACCTAATATGAACGCCGGTAAAGTAATAATTGTTACTAAGGTAAAAGTTACAGGGGCTCTAGAGCAGACCTGAGCAAAAGATTTAGTAAGTGTTAGTCTGGGCAAAGAGAGCTAAAGAGAAGAATGAAGAATTCAGAACTCAAATGCTGATGGCCTTGCTTGCTGAAGATAAGAAAGCGGCCTTGCCGGTCTGGCTAAGCTAGTAGGTGGCTCGTAAATCAGAATGGAATGTCTCTCCCTAAAGACTCTGTTTATAAAAATCCTCCCCAGTAAGTTCACAGTGTGACTTCCCATCCTGCCTCTCTCCACGATGAGGAACTCACCTGGGAGCTCCCCTTTCCTCCCTTTAATAAAGCTATATTAAGCTTTCTCTCATTCTCTCTGATTTCTTCTTTAAGTCCCCTAACCTAACCTAACCTAACCTAACCTAACCTAACCTAACCTAACCTAACCTAACCCAACCTAGCCTAACAGTAAGCAGTGTTCCCCGCGAACCAAGTACAGGGCTTCCTCTGCATCAGAAACTGTGACTTTGTCGCCAATACCTTTTCTAAAACTCTATCAAAGCCGCGCACATTAGTGATGACCTTCAGCACCTCCCGGACATTCTGTGTCAGGCCGCTCATCATGGACGGTTCTATGGCTTCTGAGCTCTGGGCAATAACCTCAGAAGAAGAGCGAAGCACTGGGGTCTGGCGCATGAGCAAGTACACTAGAGGAATGTCCTTATATACAACGCTCTCCGCCCCTAGGACGCCCTCTGCAGCTGGAACACTGACGTTCCGCGCCCTTTATGACCCATGCGCATGCGCTATTAGGTCCCTTCCAGTCTCCCTGGGTCTTTGCGCTCACCCAAAGCGCAAGCGGACCTCGCGCCCTCCGAGAACAGAGAGCGCCTGCGCAAACCCGGGTGTTGCTTGGTCCCGCCTTAAGAGGCGGTAGGAGGAAGTGGATAATGGACAACCACAGCGGTCCAGGGTCCTCCTCCAAAGTGGCGGGGGAAGATAGAGAACCTGTGGCAAAGAAACGGCGACTCTTATGTGAGGAGTTTGCTTTGGTCGCAAGTTGCGATGCGTCCATCGCCCAGTGCTACCTGACAAAGAACAGCTGGGAGATGGAAGTACGATTTCGCTTTCTCTCACTTCCTGCTCTTTACCTCTTTTCCTGGAATGGAAAGTACAAGTCCCATACCTGTCCCTTTGCTTTTCAGAGAGCATTGAACTCCTACTTTGAGTCGCCGTTGGATGAGAGCGCCTTGGAAAGCCGCCCTCAGACACTCAGTGATCGCGAAAGCTGGTAGGTGGGAGCATGGAGCTGGGCGGGCGATGGTGAAGCAGCTCTAGAGGCTCCACAACCTTAGGCTAAACATTTGGGGAGCTGACCATGGTGTGAAAATGTGCCAGCTTGGTGGGGCTTACCTTTCTCTCCCCAGCTTCCCATTTATCACTTAGAATCCCTGGAGGAAAAGCGGCAGTGTACTTTTTTACCCTATTGGTAGGTGAGAGATTTTAAATGTTACCAGGCAAAATTCTCTGTTGAATGGTAACCGGGAAGACATTTTGCTTTCTATTTTATTTTATTTCTAGTACGCTGATTAGCCAGAGGGTTTTGCCTTTTGTTGGGTTTTCCCCTCCCACTTTCCTTTTTATTGGTTTTCGTACAACATTCTTACATGTTGTGCATTACTTATGTGCATTGCATTTCACACATTACTTCATTAACATTGTGTTTCAGACTATCACTAATGTACATTGTTGTTTACCGTCGGGTCAGAACCGACCCATAGCTGACCCTCTGGCTGGTTTTCAGAGGCAGTTATCTCAGGACAGGAAATTGCTCTTCTTTCTCCTGAAGAGCTCCTCCTGGCCTGAACCATGCAGCTCAAGGGTGTGATTTGTCAGCGTTTTTCCTTAACAATAGAATCTGTTAATCTCCAGTTGTTGAGGCTCTATGTATGTTCCAGGCCAGTAATTAAAAAACTTTAAATCACTTGGAGATCTTGTGGCATCTGGACTGAACAGGAACTGGGAAAGGGATATCAGAAAAACGGGAGAAGTGAATATTATGCAGCACAAGCAGTAATGACTTTGCAAAATACTATATAACATGAGAGTCTAGAGAGCACTATGCTGAGGGAACTAATTCAGTCTCACAAGGAAAAATACTGCATAAGACTATTATTTTTAAAATAGAAGGATAATTAGTAAGATGTGAATAAGTCCAAGAGAGAAAAGGAAGCAGAGAAGAGGGACAAGGGAGGAGTAAATATCTGGAAAACACTGTAAGAATTATGTAAAAATCTTTTCCCTTACTCTTTCACTTTTCTAGAGGCAAGTACTTCTAGAATTCTTAGAAATTTGTCTATATATAATGGGGACTATAAATACTAATTCTTAAATTCTTCCACAGACTTATTATTCAGAGTATATTATTAAATTTTAAATAGGTTATTTATGAAGTATTTTGTTCTGATCTTGCCAGTGTCATTGACTTATCTGCTGAAGAAGCCACTGATTCCAATAGTTCTAAAATTAACCAATCTGAAAATACTCAGCAAGAAGATGGAAGTGTGTTCTCTTTCATTACCTGGAATATTGATGGATTGGATCTAAACAATCTGCCAGAGAGGGCTCGAGGGGTGTGTTCCTATTTAGCTTTGTAAGTATTAACTTCATCTTAATAGTGGTAATCATGTATTACCAATTTAGAGTGTCATATAAGTAAAAGTTCAAGATGGTAGGCTGTGGGATCAGACCTGGACTTTAAGTTTGCCTCTAAGAAACATCTGAAAGAAATGAAAATGTTTTCCTCTAGGATCTGGGTTTAGGAGTGGAGGGTTTACACTAATATTTGTTGTAAGGTTTTTAGTCCTAAAATAGCTTGTTTAACTTTGTGTATAATTATTCCTCTGAAAATAAAATCACCAAGTGTATCTTTCTTTATGTACTAGTTCTGTAAATTTGGCAATGCCCTTTAGGCTCTCCGGAGAGAAGTCATTATGGATAATAATTGCTTTTTTATTTTTGATGAGATAAAAATAATATAAAGGTATGAGAGTACAGGTCAATATGGTTTTCTAGTCTGATCTAAGCTATGGTCTTTTCAGTTACTTGCTATTCATCTGAGAGTTAGAGTAATAAAGAAAAGTGATACAAGAATCAATAGCTTGAGTTTTGGTGCTCAAGAAAGCCATGCTAAATAGCCCGTGGACTGCCAAGAAAAAATAAATATGTCTTGTAAAGAGTGCAGCCAGAATGCTGCAGGTGGAATGGTAAAACTTCAGTACATGTACTTTGGGCATATTGTTAGGCAAGGCCAATATTTGGAGAAAGACATC